TTTCAGCTGGGGCGATCGGCAACCCGGCGTCAGATGCGGGGAAAACAAGCTCGAAAAACCGCCTGACCCAATCAAATCCTAATGCAGGTGGGACATTCTGTTATTAGTACTGCTTTAATTTTGGCTTTCAGGCCGAAACGAGACCGTAACTACAACTTTGATCAATTTTGATTTCATCCGGTTTTTTTTTGCAGTGAAGCTTCAGTTCCGGGGATTCTACATCAAGAACATTCCCTGGAACGAATCCTACGCAACGGTCGGGTCCACGGAGTTCAACGGCCTCTGCTCCAAGATCGAATTCGGCGTGAGTTTCCCAAGGTTCCCCGAAAATTCCCAAGTGAATTCCATTAATGCAATCCAACGCGAGTGACAAGGGCACGGCCTTTCCATCGTCATCTTCGGTTTTTATGCTAATCCCAGTAATAAATAGGAATTCTGGTCAGACTTTGAAAACTTCGATGGAACTTTTTTCCCGCTTATTAATCCCATCCCAAGCAGCACAAGAACGCCGAGGAGGACGCTGAACCCCATCTGACATCGGCCAGAAAAAAAAAGGTCCGCGCCGTAATTGAATCTAAACAACGCCAAAGAACCCGCTATAACGGGTCAGCGCCCCGTCTCCAATGCGATCTTTTCATTTGGCATTTTCATTTGGAAGGCATTTGAACTCTTCGACAAAGCGATGGGGGTGACCCAGTCCTAGGAATCTTCAGAAAACTCTGGCCCAGAGGACGGAGGGAAGAAAATTGGAAAACCGGAGAGTGCATAATTTCCGCTATGGAGAAAGATAATTTTTTTTTTCCTTTTTCCATCTGATTGATCAGTGGGAATTCTGCGCTTGAAAAAAGATTTTCGCTAAGATTGGGATATGTCCTGGATGAACGTTCATGGAGCGTTCCTTGATCATTCATTAAACGTTCTGATGATACTTGGGCTTATAAGTCTTCACCAGAGATTTCATCTCCACTTCCAGCCTTTCATATCGTGATATATTTAATATTTAAAAAGCTCAAGATTTAATATCTAATCTAACCTATCCAACAATCCTTTTCTGGACCATCGCCGATGCGAACGGCACCAGAGGGTACCTAGGGATATCCGTCGATGAAGCAGGATAATAACATTTCCTCCTCAGAATCAAGCTGAATGAATTGGAATATCATCGTAACAAGTATAACAAGAATATCACCGTCCCAATGATAGACTTGTCGCATTTCTCCCCCGACAACGTCCGAGGTCACTTCATCCCCAGCTACGTAATTCTGCGTCGATTCTAGTTTTTTGCCGACATCCTTCAGATAAACATGTGTCGATGTAGTTCCTCTTGGCATCAATTTATCGCTCCAAGATCTTAAGCGATTCATCTGAGCACGTGGTGTCGGGTGCAGATGGTGTCGGTCCTGTCGGGCAGCAGCCAAAGGGCCTTCTACCAGAGGACCATCTGCCTGGCCAACCGACAGGGCAGCGTCATCTCCGACTTCAACATGGAATTCACCCAAGGCGTGAACCTGAGGATGGTCCTAGACGACATCGACGCCAAGGCGCTGATGCCTGATGGGACTTACCAAGCTGGGGAACTGCGAACTGACTACCTTCCCTCTGGTGAGGAAAATCCTGGAATCTCAGTCAACCAATGAAGGCTTTAGGTTTGAAATGCAAACTGATTCTCACGCTTCCTAAGTACGATTACTGAAAACGAGAAAAATGACTTTTAAAAATATAAAGTCTTTCGAAAACGAGATCTCCTGGACGATTCACCGTGGCCTGCTAGAAATCCTGCATCTCGGTCGTGTTATGGCTTCGACGAATTCCACCAAAATTCCATGAATTTCTCTGCAGGGAGAACACTGACGACGACCAACATTACCGGAGCGCCTGACATCATCAAAGTACAATCGGACAGGGTATCCCGTCTCATGCTGCAAGTCTCTCTACCTTCTGTCGTCGGTGAGTGACGAAATCCGAGTGATTCGTATCAGAAAGGTAGAGTCCATGTTTTTATTTTATTTCGAATGTGTTTTGACGAAATTCCGCTGTACCAATATCATTCTCAAGGTTCTCATTTTTTTTTAGAAAAGTATTAATACTTGCTGGTAATTTCTCTCGTGACGATCTCTAATGCGCCATGGAAGTTCAGAGACTTTGAAAGCATTTCAACCTGTCTTTCCCCCTGAAGAACCTCTATGGCAATGATGAATATCCTCACTTAGAGGAAAAGAGTAAATGGAACTGAACGCTTTCGACACGAGCTGCTCGACTTCAAGCAGCCATCCCTCGTGGAAGACGCGCGCGTCAACTGCCATAGACATACGTTCGCCTTTCATGAAACCTCCCTTTTATTGGATCCATTCTTTTCTTTCAGCAATGGCCCTGTTCATTCTGATCATCCTGTGCGGCACGGCGAACGATAAGACCTGCTGCAATGGAATCTGAACAATCTAGTTACGTGGATCGTCCTGGACATTGTCTCTATTCTTCTTGTTCTTCTGGTCCTTGCCTCATTTTCTCATTTTCATTTTTCCCCCGCTCTTTCTCCTTGGGACTCATCCAGGAGAAACTCACAATTTTCATCTCCGAATACCTCTTCCGTCTCTGGTTCCATCGGGTTGCAACGAGGCGTGTGGGAACGCAAACGACATCAATCGACGCGACGAAAACGACCCGATAGACTCACGGACCGAAAAATAAAAGGAGATTTAGAATCACGCTCCCGTTTCTCAAGACCTGTGTGGGAACGCCCAAAATAATGATAAATAATTGGATACTCAAACGTTGAAGCGTCTTGAGACGCGGGAGCGTGTTCGAAGTCGAAAATCTGCTACCTGCTTCTCAATAAAAACCAGTTACTGCCCATTAGTGACCGTCAATTCACTTTCGCAATTATAAATCGTCATTTTGATTCAGCAGCCGATGTCACGCTATCGGTTTCTCCAACCATTTCTCGTGGTACTCATCATAGTAAGCAATTTGCATGTAAGGGCGAACGCAACAATGGTAAGTTCGTGTTCAAGAAACATTCTGGGTGCCAAGGTGCTTGCCAATCGACCTCAGTCCTTGACCCTGGTTATGAGTTCTCTATGGCTTCCCATCAAGACAGTCTTACCAAGAGGATGAAGAAGAAGTTATAACCATGAGGAACTGATTAAACCGTTTCACGGAGATGCGAGAACAGAATCAGACTCTTGCCAGCACCCTTCATCTCTCGTCGGATCCATCGAGACCATTGCGCCCCATTGCGCCCCACTGCGCCAAAAGAGGGTCCTCCCCTTCGACCATCCACGAGCAACAACAGAGAAACTTCAGTCCGTCTGCACGTGCCACTGACTGCCAATGATAAGTGTCTCAGACTCTCACGACTGAGCTACCCAAACTGAAAGGAAATGCTGTAAGCCAAGAAACCAGGAGACGTCGTTCGGCATGCACGGAGATGGCGATGCTCAAATTACCCTAATTCCTAAATATGGTCGCCGGATTGACCTACGCCCCGACAGGTTGCTAAAAACTTTCATCCAGCTAACGTTAGAGGTAAGCAGAACGAGGAAGAAGCTGAGAAGCATGAGGTACTCTTGTCATATACTCAGGGAGCCTTTTAAACCCTTTCGCCCTCGTCACCTTGGGCGGGAGGACAACTTTCTCCGATCAGCCTTGCCTGGTTCCTCCCTTTAAATAGCGGAGACTTCTCCATTTCGTGGTATTCTCGGACAATCTCGTACTCGGGCGGCACTTCCCGAGCAATCGTGGAGTATCCTCTTGCATTTGTGTCGGTATTCCAGGAGATACTTCCCAGCGTCACCCGTTCGCACTCGGGCAGATCGCCCGTCATTCTCATTCTGGCCGCTCAGAAGGGAGTCCCCTTCTGCCTGGAGTCACTCGTCTGGCTGGCATTTTACAGTTGTGTGCTGCTTGTCCGGGAACTCCTGCAGTTGCTGGG